AATAGAGCAGCCATTACAAGATGATGGGTAGGGAACTGCTTCAGAGGGAAGGGGTGGGTAGACCTCATCCTTCTACCCTAGCATTTATTGCACCAAGGAACACTAGGAGATCTCCTGCCTGAGCGGAGAAACCACCGTTGAGTTTGCATCCAAGAAATTCAACCTTCTACAAGTCCCATCATCCACAATGGCTAGAGATTATGGGGATAACAGAATAACAGAGTTGGAAGGGACCTTGGAGGTCTTCTAGTCCAACTCCCTGCTCGGGAGAACCTATGCTGTCCAGTCTCTTTTTACAAACCTCCAGTGATGTAGTACCCACAATTTCTGAAGGCAAGTCCTTCCACTGGTTAATTGACCTCACTGTCAGGAAGTTTCTTAATTCTAGGTTGCTTCTCTCAATTAGTTTCCATCCATTGCTTCTTGTCCTGCCTTTAGGCGCTTTGAATAAAGGAATAACAGAGTTGGAAGGGACCTTGGAGGTCATCTAGTCCAACCCCCTGCTCAGGTAGGAAACCCTATACCATTTCAGACAAATGGTTGTCCAGTCTCTTCTTAAAAACTTCCAGTGTTGGAGCATTCACCGCTTCTGGAGGCAGGTTGTTCCACTGGTTAATTGTTCTCACTGCTAGGAAATTTCTCCTTAATTCTAGGTTGCTTCTCTCGATTAGTTTCCATCCGTTGCTTCTTGTCCTGCCTTCAGGTGCTTTGGAGAAGAGCCTGACTGCCTCTTCTTTGGGGCAGCCCCTCAAATATTGGAAGACTGCTATCATGTCACCCCTAGTCCTTCTTTTTATTAGTCCTTCCTAGTCCTTCCTTCATTTCACTGCAATCACGTCAGCCCTGGTCCTTTTGGTCTGAAATGGTATAGGATCTCCACCCTGAGCAGAGGGTTGGACTAGAAGATCTCCAAGGTCCCTTCCAACTCTTTTTTTCCAGTATTCACATATTCCATGTAACATTTCAAGATTGTGGAAAACGAAAATATTGGCTATTGTTTTTCTATGCAAGGTTTAGGCCCAGGTAAACTAAATCGGGTCTCACGGACAAAGTATTGAACCAAAGTTTGTGCTCTGTTTAATTTTGCAGTTTTGCAATTGTACTTTACTTAATATGATTTTGCTAAGCTTGCTTGTTTCAAATGTATTTAGAACGTAAGGACTGGAACAGTAAGAAATAGGGAACTGAAAGTAGCTGATGGATGCGGGTTCCAATGTACACGGGTATACTGTATGTGGCAAGTTATGTTCAGCAGAAGTTCAGCAGGTCAGTAGAAAGTCAGCAAAAATCAGCAGACCATCTGACTACAGTCTTATAACAGGAAAGGGTACAAAGAGTTGGGTCTGGACCTGATCAATTGGTCATTGGTCTACAGCTGTCCTTTTGGAATCTGCTATGCCAGTGAACCTCATTGCAATGGGCCATTAATGTAAGTGATGTTGTGTTATTATGCTTGTTATGTTCCAAATGATTAGCAAAATAAACCTCTGAATCTTAAAAGTAAGAATTGTTTTGTGTTGCTGTCTTGTGTTCTTTTCATTGGGTTTTTCCACAACAAGATGTTTCCCCTCATTTCACCCAATCCCAATAGGAGCCGATATGAGCAATTTTTATCACCTCTTCTCTTCCAGACTGTTTCTCAAAACTGTTTTGGGTCAACTTTTATTCTTCTCCACGGCAATCCAGGACATCCTTTGGGCAAAAAAGTCCAACTTTCTCTTCCTGTTAGAGTCAAGGTGCTTTTTCAGGAGGCAACTGGACTTTCTTGTTTTTCTTTGAAGACGTTTCGCTTCTCATCCAAGAAGCTTCTTCAGCTCTGACTGGATAGTGAGGAACGGAAGGATTTATACATTTGCATTCGTTTAGCGAGTCTGTTAATGCTACCTGGAGGCTTATCTGTGTCTTCAGGGTCACCTGAAAGAGGGGCCAAAGAGGCCATCTTGGTCAAGATTGAACAGTCCTCTCTCAACAGAGGGGGAGGGATACCACACCGTCTATTTCCAGTCTACAACACACCCATTTGCACCACTCAGGTGACCCTGAGGACACAGATAAGCCTCCAGGTAGCATTAACGGCCCTCTAAAAGGCGGCAAATGACCAGCTGTCTGCAAGGAGTATAAATCTTCCCATTTCCCACCATCCAGTCAGAGCTGAAGAAGCTTCTTAGGTGAGAAGCAAAACATCTTCAAAGAAAAACAAGAAAGCCCAGTTGCCTCCTGGAAAAACACCTTTGGGACAACCAGGACCTGGATGACGGAGAATTGTCCATAAACATCTTCCTGTAGAGGAATGCTTTGGCAGAACTTAGAACTTCTCCTACCTGGTAGACAGCAGCTCGCAGCTGAGCCCGTTCTTCTGGCGTCTGGAAGGGCCCACATTGGAGGTCTCCATCTCCCAGAAGCCCCCGGGCCTCTGGCTGAGGTGGTCTGGCCTCCATCTGGGGGACGATGGAGGCCAGCCACTCTCTCCTTCAAGAGAGTTGGAGAAGAAGTAGCTTTGATGACGATTACATTGTATTATGGCAGGACTGCCCTCTCATTTATGGTCCTAGAATACAAAGCCCATCATCCAGGTTGGTTGGGGATGATGGTATACCTCCCTCAGTCTCTCTCTCTCTCCTCCTGTCTCTCTCTCCCCTTCTGTCTCTCTCTCTCTCTGTGTCTCTGTCTCTCTCTCCTCCTCTCTCCCTCCCTCCCTCCCTTGATGCGGTCTCTGGCCCTGGGGAGGATTTTCCCCAAAGCCAAACCCCCCTGCAAAGTCTCTCAGCGTCCCCCCTCCCATGGGGGGGGCAGACAAAAAGAACTGGATTTGCACAGCCCCACAAATTGGGTCGGGGGAAACCTCACTTGATTCTGATTGGGGTTAACTTGGTTACCTTCCAGAAGGGGTGGGGGGGATGGTCACTGAGCTGGGCCACCAGGAAGGACACTTCAGCCTGTAAATGCTGCAAGGGGAGGGGTGAGCCCCCTCATCGGCCCGAAGTGAGGTGGGGGGGGAAAACAGGGGAATCTTGCCAACGTTGCTCGGAGGAGGCCCGGAGAAGCATCCCTCAGGAGTCAAGAGGGACCAAGAAAAGCGGGGGGGGGGGGGGGCAGA